ATAGGACCAAGTGTGAGCCAGAAGATATAGATTTTGCTTACATTTTCTCAGCTATGAACTTCCCTAGCAAGCAAACACAAAATTCTAGAGCTAGATGTCAAGTAAGACCAGAGTTCATAAGGCCATCTAACTGGTCCTGAAGCAGCACCCTCCACCCAGAAATCACAAACAAATCACCACAAAAAGATTAAAATTGTCAAAACCAAATAAACCAAAATTCACCAAGCCCAATGTTTCTCAGCCAGGTCTAGCGTTGCCCTCTGCGGAGGAAGGGGGTTGGGATGTGTAAAGAACTGGGTGGTTGAAATGAGTATGGAGTTGTTGGCAAGGCCAAAAAAATTAAAACTTTGCAGTTTGGGGGCAATCCTATAGAATGAAAAATTGTTCCACCCAACATATCAAGATGCTGGTTTAGTCCAATACAAGGATTCTGGAACACACAGGCAAAGGGGAGGCATGGCTCTCTTCCTGGTATTTAACCCTCAAAGTTAGTGGTGTCAGATTCTTGTCAGTGCCTGTAGACTGCCCTAACCCAGTACCATCTCTGCTCTCTCCAGGTTCAAGGGCCACAGAAGACAGTCATTAGAAGGGTATGCTCTTGTCTACAAAGTAAACTCTGTAAACAGATACCAAAGCTATCCTTACTCTGCCTCTTCCTTTCCAACTAAAGAAGTATGATGATTATCTTACATTAACCCCAAAAGGTTCCCTTATTAACTGTTTCTATAATTTGGTACTAATCTACCACTGCCATGGAGGGTTAAGTATTCAAAACCAAGTTGTCAGCTGAGAAGCTGACACAGCATAAGAGGTGGGCTTTTTAAGGGGTCTAAGACTCAAAAGCAAAGGGTTTTGGTTTTGTTTATTTGTTTAAGAAGCTTTAAAACTTTCTCTTTTAATTTAAAGCAGAAGAGTGATAGATTAGAGTTGGGAATGGCAATCTGTCTGCCTTTCTTTAACAGAACCAAGAAGTTTGAGGAGAGACAATCAGCCTGGTCCAATGGGATAGATGTGGGAAAAGACGTTGAAAGCCTGAAAGTCCCAAATCAAATGCAAACTGGTGACTGCGAGTACCTTTTTGAAAAGAAGGTTCTATCTTTTGTCATCGTCGAGTAAGCATGGCGTTTTGATGGTGTAGTGGTTATACATTGGGCTTCGAACTACATGGTCAGCAGTTCAAGACCACCAACAGCTCCATATGAGAAAGACAGAAAGGGACTTTCTACTCCCTTAAACAGGTACAGTCTTGGAAACCCACAGGAGTTGCTGTGAGTCAGCACTGACTCGATAGCCGTGACTTTGGTTTGGTTTTCGGACAGATACCGGTTGCTGTGGAGTTGATTCGGACTCACAATAATAATTCCGACCATGTGTGTCAGTCAGAGTACAACTGTGCACTTTAAGCTTCTCAATTGCTGCTTTTTCCCCCACAAGATCACCAGGTTTTTCTTCCAAGACACCACTGGGTGGATTCAAATTGCCACCTGGAGGCTCCTAAAAGAGGTACCCAATGCCACCACCGGGAGCCCCTTCCGACTCACAGCCACCCTACAGGGCAGAGTAGGCCTGCTCCCTACGGTTGCCAAGACTGTAAATCTTCACAGGGGCCAGCTGCCTCATCTTTCTCACAAGGAGTGGCTGCTGGGTTTGAACTGCTGACCTAGCGGATAGCAGCAAAATCCTTAACCCACCCACTATGCTACCACGGCTCCTGAACTAGGTACCAGACCCCCCCAAAAGGGTAATAATAATAATTTCTTTGGTAACTCTTCCCTTTTCCAAAGCAAGCATAGATCGTAGACTAGAAATTCAATGCAACCTACCAAAAAACAAAATGTCAGAGCAAGTTGTATAAACACTACCACCAATACAAAAACAACTACTGTCTCATGAAATGAACTTATGGCAATTTCAAATAAACAATGAAGAAAAACAAGTGAGACACCTCGAGGAATGGCTCATGGTGTCTGAAAACGTATTTAAGGGCCAGATGATGCACTGAGAATCCAGGTATTCAGCAGCAGATGGCTCCAAGCCTCAGGAAGAAAAAGCAGAAAAGTGGGTCCAACCAGTGGCTTTCAGTGGTCTCCTAAGGGGTCTCAGGCACTGGCCACTAACTGCTTCTCTCTTTGACTTTCTGGGTAGCAGAAAGTTTGAGATTTTAGCCAAAGGAGGATAGAAAATTCTTTCCTCCAGATTTCGTGTGACAGAGCCACTAAGAATTCATGGGTCAGCCTTAAAATATGATCCTCAGTGAGAAGGGAAGGCACAGTGGCTGCAACAATGCGCTCAGATGTAGACATGACTAAGGCTGTCGCAGGACTGGGCAGTATTGGGTTCTGTTGAAGAGAGGGTTGCCATGAGTCAGAGCCCACTTCTAACAAGAGCAGCAATTGCTGAGTCATGATATTATTAGGATCAGATGGGGGACCCATCATCCCAAACAACCTATGGCAGGCCACAAAGCACATTCGAAATGTATCCCACCAGCTAGGCTCCCTTTAGCCTCCTCGCACTCTTAAATCTTGTGCAAATACTTAGGTCACTATCTCTATAAGTTCTTTTTTTCCCCTGGGAAAGTATGCTGAAGGCAAAGGAGACCTTACTCTTCCATTCTGACGATGTTCAGAGCTTCGGTCCAAGTATCTTGGCACTCAGGGCGGTCAGGGACCTGCAGCCTCAGTCTCCCTCCGAGCCCTGCCCCCACCAGACCCAATGAGGCAGAATCTTCTGCCTTTTAGCCACATCCCCACGTGATTCCTGCATACCTCAAAGTCTTCGAAAGACTACCCTTAGTGACTCCTGTAACAGAAACACAGACTAGTCAGGCAGTGAGACACCAAGAGGAATGGCTCGTGGCAACTGCAAACATATTTAAGGATTAGTGATACACTGCGAATCCAGACATTCACCAGAAGCTGCTTCAAGCCTCAAAGTAAAAAAAAAGTAGAAAAATGGGCTCCACCAATGTTCAACAATTTGTGAGTTTAAGAAGTATAAATGTGGGGAAGTGAGGAGAGGCGAAGGAGGAGGGAAAGTGAGGAGCTGATACCAAGGGCTCAAGTAGAAAGCAAATGTTTTGAGAATGATGAGGGAAACAAATGTATAAAGGTGTTTGACAAATGGATGGATGTATAGATTGTGATAAGAGTTGTATGAGCCCCCAATAAAATTATAATAAATAAATAAATAAATGAATAAATGAATAAATAAAAAGTATAAATGCAAAAGCTGGGACACTGGCTACTATGGACAGCCCAGGATTCTGCTGTAACTGAATGAGACAACTTTTCTTTCTCGTTTCTCTTCTTCAATACGAGGATAAAGAAAAAATATATCAAAAATTCACTTACCCATTGATAGATGTTCTAGACATAAACAGGCTAAAAACAGATGACACGAAAGAATGATATAATTGGATAAATAGCCAGCCCGATTTCTCAATGCTGTTGTTTAAGAAGATCTGCGTCCCATGGTCAAGGTAGCTCTGAACAAAGACAGCCTGGAGTGAGTCACACAGTTTCTCTCTGTTGCACACATACCACTAAAAAAAAGAAGAAAAAGGAAAACACAATTGGAGAGTCATCTAAGAAGGCCAAAAGCAAACAAGCAATCAACCCACAGATGAAATCAAATTTAACATTTCCAAATATTATTATAATCACATAGCACTTTGCTTTGAGGATAATACTCTTTTGAGGATGATCATCTCAATATATCTGCACAGATGATTTTTCACTTAATTCTCCTCACAACCCATAGGGCAGCGGTTCTCAACCTGTAGATCAAGATCCATTTGGGGGTCGAACGACCCGTTAACAGGGGCCACCAAATTCATAACAGTAGCAAGATTACAGTTATGAAGTAGCAACGAAAATAATTTTATGGTTTGGGGGGTGAGGAACTGTATTAAAGTGGCACGGCATTAGGAAGGTTGAGAACCACAGCCATAGGGTAAATGAGTCAAGCATCACTGGGCAGGAGGAGGAGGAGGGCTCCAGGTTCAAGAGGCTTAGTGGAGCCACTCACGCATGTGATCTGACTTCTGGCCCAATACTTCAGTCACTATAGCTGCCAGCTCTGTTGGGCTCAGACAGGCCCAGTCAGAAGGCAAGTAGCCTTCTTTTAAAGTAAGGAACAGTCAAACAGCCCAATGGCTTATGCAAAGCCACCGAACAATGGAAGGGTTTAATGGAGCAGTAATGTTTAACTCCAGCGACCAGATTAAGCTGCTTTTCTTTGTGCACATCAGTAAGACCTTTAGAAGTCTTACTTCACAAACGAGTTATGTAGCATTGTTAGGAAACAAAGTCAAACCCACTGCCAGCATCAAGTCGACTTCAACTCAGAGCGATGGCACAGGATAGAGTGGAATTGCTCCCACAGGATTTCCTAAACTGTGATCTTCACGGATGCAGACTGCCTCATCTGTCTCCTATGGTGCTGGTGGGTTTGAACCACCAAACTGTCGATTAGCAGCTGAGCACTTTACCAGTGTGCCACAACATGGCTACAGAGGGGCAAAAACATACTCAAGGCGGATTAAGTTACTGAATGCCACCGAGCAATCCATGAAGACAAGAACCAGTAATAGGCTCTAACAAAAGCACACTTGATAACAAAATTTAAGAGTTTTAACTGCAGAAGGAGTTTCATCTTCCATAATATGATTCCCATTTTAATTTGAGTCAGCACACCAGATTTGAGTAGATTGTAATGGTACAGTTTGAGCCAGCTCTGGGATCAAGTATTGGCTCTGCCATTCCTGTGTGACCTTGGGCAAGTCAGTTATCTCTGAGCCTCTTTTACTTGAACCAGGTATGTCACAGGGTCAATGTACGTTGGTAGGTTATCAGAACTAAGCAAAATAGCCTTTATACGTCCTTAACACCGTGTCAGGCACACGGTGGAATCCTATGACTGTATAATAAGTGCAATGGTATTTCTCCAATGGAGGCTTATGCCTATCAGAGCAAATCTATTAAAAGTATAGACTAGTTGCTATACAGCAGAGCCATTATTTTCTAAGAAACAACCAACTTTTCCCAAGAAGGTGTCTACTGGCCAAAAGCAGCCTGCTTCCCTGACAAACATCACCATTTACCAGCAATGAAATGTCCCGGAACTGCTTGCACAACTGATGGGCCAATATTACAGTCATTCTAAACTTGCTAAACTTGTTAAATGAAATCTTGGGTAACATTCCTGTCAGGAACATTGAAAGCAACCAGTAATAAACCAATACAAACAAGCAAGCAGGCACATTAAAATTTCAAATTAACTTATCTTTCTATAAACCCTGCAGGCCTAATCTGCACAAACCAAACCTTTTATTAGTGACTGACTGTGAGTCCAGGGCAGTAAGCCTAAGAGTTTGGTCTACTGAAATGCTGTCACCAGAGCTGCTCAGACTTGACATCATCCTTAGGGTCTTTGTGTGTGTGTGTGTGTGTGTGTGTATGGGGGGGGAGGGGTGTCAAACACTTAAGGGCATGGACTGACCCCAGGAATGGAACAATGGGTCAAAAATAACAATTTTAAGGATGAGGCAGGGTGAGGGACACTCCAAGTAGGAAAACCAACTCACCCCACATCTTCCAGGGCCTGCCAACACTTTTTTGTTGCTCTGAAAACGTTCCTGCTTAATCGTTTACTAATTCTTATTACTTACTACACCTGAAATGACACCCTGGTGCTGATCGTAAATCATTTTTATTAGGCGTATGACCTCTGAGGACACTTTACCTTTTATTTATTCCTTACTCTCTCATGTGACTAATCACTGCCATCTAGTAGATTTTTACTTCAGTTCACCTGGAGCCTTATTGTAAGTGTAACTTTTAAATTTTAAGTATCTTTTCTTTAATTCCTTAAAATAATGTACAAAAGCTACCTATAAAACATGAAATGGTTTCAGATGCCATAACTGTAGCTAAAAACATAACATGAAAAATTAACCTGAGCTTGGCACAATGGATCATGCCTATACATAAAGAGTTTTTCACCGATGGTATCACATATCAACTCCATTTTGAAATTAAAATAATTAAGTCACAACAATTTTTAAAATAGAATTTGTATGATAGGCACTTTGCTTTTAGACCCTTTAACATTTTTCCCTATCTTTAAAATAATATTTTTTAATTGTAGAGAGTACATACAGTAAAAACATACAGCAATTCAAATTTCTATATGTACAATTCAATGACACTGATTTCAGCCAGTTCGGCAAACTCTCCCTTCTCTCCTGAGTTCTCCCCCCTCCGTTAATACAGGCTTGTTGCCCACCGAATCTTTCATGTTGCTGTTACCAATTTTGGAGCCTTGTTAACCACGAGGCCAGCAGTTTGAAACCACCAGCTGCTCTAAGGCATAAAGATGAGGCTATCTACTCTCATTGAAAGTTAGGCTCAGACATCCCTCACTGACCCATAGTGCTATGGGGGGCAACACTGAAGGCACAATACAGGAATTGTGCCCACTCTGACCCCACCACACCGGGAGGGGTGGGGGGCGGGCTGGGGGGCGGCAAAATACTAAGGGCATGCAACAGAGCAGCTAGGGGAACAAAGCAATGAAGTCCCCTGGGGAATGCCAAAAATAAACTTTGGGGTCAGCATGTGACACCCCATCAGACTGGACTGAAAACACTCCTAAAGGTCAACAAACAGACCTGGAACTATTTATAGGCTTTTCTCTCTTTTTTTTATCATTGGGTTTTTTTGGTTGTTGTTTTGGGGATTTTTGGTTTTCTTTTGTTACTTGGTTTTTCTCTGTCTTATTTGTTTGCTTATTGTCTCTGCATGTCTATCTACATAAGACAGGTGGGATAAACAATCTGGAGGCGGAAACAACAGGACCAATGGTTCTGGGGGTACACGGGAGGCAGGGAGACGGAGGCATGGGAAAGGAAGTGGGTGTTAAACCCAGGGACAAGGGAACAACAAGTGATCTAAAATCGATGGCAAGGAGGGCATAGGATGCCTGATAGGGCTTGATTAGGGGCAATGTAACCATGAGAAATTACTGAAACCTGAATGACGGCCAAACATGATAGTGGGACAAGAGGAAAGTAAAAGGAAATAGAGGAAAGAACTAGAAGGCAAAGGGGCCTTTATAGAGGTCTAAATACAGGCATGTACATATGTAAATATATTTTTATATAACGATAGGGAAATAGATCTATGTGCACATATTTATATGTTAAGTATTAAGGTAGGAGGCAGACATTGGCTTCTACTCAAGTGCTCCCTCAACACAAGAACACTTTGTTCTAATAGCCCGGCATTCCATGATGCTATTTCCCAACACGTTTGCTGAAGACAAAATGGGTGCCTAAGCAAATGTGGTGAAGAAAGCTGTGGTGCCCGGCTATCAAAAGATATAGTATCTGTGGTCTTAAAAGACTTGAAGATAAACAAGCGGCCATCTAGCTCAGAAGCAACAAAGTTCACATGGAAGAAGCACATCAGCCTGTGTGATCATGAAGTACCAATGGGATCAGGTATCAGGCATCAAAGACCCAGAATAAAAAACCCTATCAATGTGAATAAGGGGGAGTACGGAGTGGAGACCCAAAGCCCATCTGTAGATAATAGGACATCTCCTTACAGAAGGGTCACAAGAAAGAGACAAGCCAGTCAGGGCACAATATAGCACTGTTGAAACATATACTGGTAACTTTCCTCTAGTTCTTTAATGCTTCTCACCCCCTCCCCCCAGCACCTATCATGACCCCAATTCTGCCTTACAAATCTGGCTAGACCAGAGCATGTACACTGGTACAGATAAGAGCTGGAAACACAGGGAATCCAGAACAGATAAAGCCCTCAGGCCCAATAATGAGAGTAACAATACCAGGAGGGGAAGGGGAAGGCCGGGGGCGAGAGGGGGAACTGACCACAATGATCTACATTTAAAATCCCCTCCCAGGGGGACCAAGAACAGAAAAATGGGTGAAGATAGACAGTGGTCGGTCTACAACATGAAAAATAATAATAATTTAAAAATTATCAAGGGTTCATGAGGAAAAGAGGGTGAGGGAGGGAGGGGGGGGATGAGGAGCCGATACCAAGGGCTCAAATAGAAAGAAATGTTTTGAAAATGATGATGGCAACAAATGTAAAAATATGCTTGACACAATGGATGAATGTATGGATTGTGATAAGAGATATACGAGCCCCCAATAAAATGATTTATAAAAAAATAAAATAAAAAGTTGGTCTCAGAAACCCTTGGGGTCAGTTCTACTCTGGCCTACAAGATCGCTGAGTCGAGTCAACTGGGTGCTAGTGAGTTCAGTTTCTGAGTTGTCAGTTTGATCCCATAGACAGGTCTTTAAAAGAACGTAATGTTCAAGGCAAGCTTGCTTTGCTGGTTAAGCAGAACTGTTTGGTTGGTAAAGATTTATAGTCTTAGCCTTAATAGAGCAAGCTATGAGAATCAACTGGGTGGCAGTGGGGGTTTGGGGTACTGTTGGTTTTAAGACTTCAGGGAATGTTTTTTATGGTTTAAAGTGATTTTAGGGCAATAAACAAAACAAAAGAAAACCTCACTGACTCATAGTGACCCCAAAGGACAAGGTAAACTGCCTCTGTAAGTTTCTGAGACTGTGGCTTGTAGTCATTATGCCATCAGGGAGAATAGAGAGTAATTCTTGGGCCTTGGGGGAAAATGAACTTTTTAAATGTGAATGCAACCACATCACTACACCCTGCTACAAAAGTTGTCTTGGAACAACACCCAAAGTGTTCAATGCGGCTTCTAAGCCCTATTAAGGTTGTCCACTCTGCATCCACAGCATCACTTCATGACACTGTACAGCCTGCAGCCCACGGCAACTGCGCGCTACCATTCTTTCATCCTCTGGAAACCTCCTTCCTCCTGGCTCTCTCATCTGGTGTTTGCTCTGGTCCCTACGGTCCCCACCTCCTCAGCACACTCCCTGCTCACCCAGTTAGTTGGACCTCAGTCGATAATTTCTCCACTGAACTTTCAGACTGGTGAGTAGGTGCCCTGTTTTAATACCCTCTCATATACTCCATAAGGTTTTCAGTGGCTCATTCCTCAGAAATGGATAGTATTCCTTCGTTGTAGTCTGTTCTTATTCTGGAAGCTCTGCTGACACTGGTTCACTCGGGGTGACCCTGTTGGCATTTGAAACATCAGTGACATAGCTTCCAGTATCACAGCAACACACAGGCCACCACAGGACGACAAACTGATGGGCCTAATGCATTTGAATTACGGTGTTGGTGAAGAACAACACTGAAAATACCACATAATGCCAACAGTACAAATAAATCTGTCTTAACAAAAAGTAAATTCAGAATCCTCCTTAGAAGGCAAGGATGGTCAGACTTTGTCCCAAGGACTCTGGACATTTCAGGAGAGACCAGGACCTGGAGAAGGATATCGTGCATGGTTAAGCAGTGAGGCATGAAAAAAGACTATGACCTTCGACAAGCTGAACTGACAAAGTGGCTCCATTGGTGGGTACAATCATAAGAACAATCGTGAGGATGGTACAGGTAGGCAGTGCTTGGTTCTGCTGTATACAGGGTCCCTATGTGTCGGAACTAATTCGATGGCATGCTCCCAACAACATATATCCCATAAAGTCCTCGGAAGGAACAAACAGGTAAGTGCTCAGCTACTAACAAAAGGGTAGCAGTTCAAATGCATGCACACAGAAGTACCTCAGAAGAAAAGCCTGGCAATCTGATTCCAAAACGCCAGAGTTCTGAAAGCCCTAGGAAGCACAGTTCTACTCTGCCGTACGAGGGATTACCATGAGTCGGAATCAACTCAGTGCAACTAGCACTGGTGTATACGCGGTATGTAGGCCTCCTTGGTGACAGTACGACCACTGAGCAAGTGCACAGAATTGCACGCTCAGGGTCTATCTTCCCAGGAAGACCGGCACTTCCTAAAAGTAGGACTGCAATAACTCATTGTGTTCCCAGCACCCAGTGCAGAGCCAGTAGGTTCTCAACAATGTTCATCAGATGAAGCGCTGCTAGGAATAATGGGCTATACAACTGAAACAATAGAATTTGGGGATTCTAGCAAAACCTTGGCAGGAGAATAAGGTCATCAAAGAGATGGTCTGGGTTTCTGTCATTTTCTAAAATTGCAAGGCTTTTACCAAGAGAAAGAAAG